CGGCCGGCCACTTGAACTGGCCGGCCTGCTTATTGCTTTTGCCGTTTTTGAGTGTAATCCAGCTGTGCCAGTTGGAGACCATTTGGTGCATCCTCCATACACGTGTATGGAGGATCTTTGAAGCTTCCAAGAGAAGCTTTGGCCTCTCTTCTCAATAAGAGAGGCCCTCCTCTTCATATCTAAGGGTTAGACATTTTTGGCCAAGGCACATAACCTCCCACCTCCATTGCTACTATTCCAAGCTCTAAAACCCTAACTTCGTTGGTTCATTTACACTACAACCCTTAGCACCACACCTCCATAATCCATTCCAGCACCTTGGAAGCCATTTGCAGAGGTTGGAAGCTCATCAACTTGGTCCAAAAGCTGCTGGAGGTCGGCTCTTCAAGGGTAAGTCCTCATTTCCCCCATTTTTGCATTATTTTGCCCTATACCTTAGCTCCATTTGCAAGCATTTTCGAGCCTTGGTGTAAACTGAAGATAGTCTTATTTTGAGCTCTTCTTCATGTTTGTTTAAGAACACTTTTCTGTTTGAGGCCTCCTACACCCTTGCATGCTTTACCCCTCTTTGTAGGCCTATTTTGCATCATATCTTGGTCCTATTTGTGAGCACTTTTGAGATTTTCTATATACTGTAAAGTGACTTATTTTGAGCCTTTCTTCAACTTTGTTTAAGGGCACTTTACTGTTTGAGGTCATCTACTTCCTTGTTTGTTCAATCTCTCTTTTAGGGCTATTTTTGCATCATACTTTAGCCTTACTTGTGAACATTTTCGAGATTTTCTATAAACTGAAAAAAGTCTTGTTTTGACATCCTCTTCAATTTTTGTTAAGGTCCCATTTCTGTTTGGGGTCATCTTCCCCCTATGCATGCTTCATCTCTTCATGATTAAGGCTATGCATTAGAGCACTTGCATTGGCCATGGTTTGGCCTCTTAGCCACTGAAATCTAGTGAATTTTCAGTGGCTTTGATGCATTTTTTAGGGCCAAAATTAGAGGGGGGTGACCCCCTCTCTCCTTGTCTTGTTTGGGGGTCTTTTGGGCCTTCCAAAAGGACCCTATTTTGCATGCGTCAAAGTCACTTTTTGGGACCAATTTTGTGGGTTTTAGGGTCTGCCTTAGGTCTGTCCAGGGCCCTTTTGATCATATTTTATACCTACAATGCATGTGTAGAACAATTCCATTCGAGGCCCTTTGAGGGGGCCTTTCTTGGCATGTTTCCTAGACTGATTTCAGGGCCAATTTTATGAGTTTTAGGGCTGTCATAACTCATTTCCAGAGTTGGTTTGGTCATGCTAAGTGTCTATCTTATATGTGCTTAACAACCCCTTGAATGGCCTTCCAAAGGAGCCCCTCATTTTTACATGCATTGGCTGTATTTCAGTGATTATTTGGGCATATTTTGGTATGTTTTATTCACTGTTTTTAGCTGGTTTGGTGAGTTCTCATTTGCTTCATATACATGACATATAAACCATGTTTTGCTAGTCAATGTTGCATGCTATTTTAGTCTATCATTTTAGCATCTTTTGGCCATGCTCTAAACTAGAAATGTGCATGTTTTGGGACTGCCTTGGTTCTGTCTTTAGACTTCATGATCAAATAATGTTTGCTTTGTATACTTATGTTTCAATGCATTGGACTAGTTTTGAGTTTCGGGGCTTATTCCATGCATCGGGTGCCATATTTCCATGTTTCGGGACCATCTAGCATTATGTTTCAGTGCTGAAAATTACATGTTTGAATGCCATGCTTCATCCTTGTCATGTTTTGGTAGAGTGGCATTCAATGCCTTAGGTTCGGTCCTCGGTTTGCGTGCATATGTGCACGCATTTCGGTCATCCCATTTTCATCTTACGGCTACTGATGTGAGTGTGGCTGAGGTCCACTCATGTTGGTGTAAGTCCATTGTGCATTGTGTATGCCTTTTCAATTCATAGCATTGCGTATGCTAGGTTGCCTGTTAGAGCTTTGTGTATGCCGTGTTACATCGAGCATTGTATCTGTCATATCATAGCATTGCGTATGCTGGGTTGTATGTTAGTCGCATTGTGTATGCCATCTCATTTGCATTGTGTTTGGGATAGGAGTTAGCCCGAGCACGGGAAACGAGGAACGTTTCGTACTCCGAGTGACGGAACGTGTCTCAATTCTCTGTCGCCGACACTCCGGATTACCCATGATGGAGTTCAGGTCTTGTTGTGTTTTCATGTGCATTCATCTCATATTGAGTCGTGCAATTCGACTCCTCGGCCATCATGCATCGATATGCGTGATTGGTGGCACGAGGATCGAGGACTACACTGCCTGAAGAGTAGTCATGTATACATATGTGAAATACTTTGCCATGCCCTTTGTTGCCCTCTGTTGCAGTAAATCAGAAATCAGCGGCCTTCTGGAGCGTTGCGCAATATTTCGAAAACAATTGCAAACAGAGGCAAACCGGGGCATCGCAATGGATTTCCGCGCAAGGCAACTCAAGCATACATCATACATCATTCGAAACAGAGCTGAGGCGGTCCATGGATTTGCGTGCCAATTTGCCTGCTTTCCTAGATTAATTTGTTAATTAATTAGGATTTTGTATTCATTCGGACTGTATTATTCTTTCGGACCCTCCGAGTGAGGGCATAAATTGTAATAAGTGTGCGTGAGTGTGATATATGTCTTCCAACCCCACGTCTTTCTCCCTTTTATTTACCAGCTTATGATGGTTAGATTAGGGCATGTTTCAATTAGCATACAGTATGATAGCATGTTTGCATTTATTCATCTGTCTTGCATACACCGGGCTCAGCGCACCATACTAACTGCATTTGTATTTCAATTCCAAGTTGAATACGTGTTAGCTGTAGCATTTCATATGCCATCTTAGAATAGCCGAGCCTATCTTAGTTGCATTTTGCATGTGTTGCATTAGGCATTTCTGTATAGTTAGGATCATGCATGGATTTCTAACATAGCTTTTGTTTTGGCTTGGAGTACTCGGTAAGTTTTTTTTTTTTACTTTAGCATCCTTGCATGTGTGTGAGTGACTGCCATGATAGCATGCTTACTATGAGGCTAATTGTTTATGTGATATAACTACCTGAATGCTTGTGGGTGAAGGTTGGGTTATTTGAATTGGAACAATTCGTCAATTGCGAGTTTTAAGCCCACTTGAGAGTGGCAAATCATCATGTTTTCTAAGCCCACCTGAGGGTGGCAAATCCACATTTTAGCCTACTTGCGAGTAGCAAACCGTTTTTTAAAACAAACATGAGATGTTTCGTTCCAATTCAGGCGACCCAGTCTACACTTGTATGCTGTGTGCATCACATAGTAAATCTAGGCTAATAACCGGAATAAGAACGCATAATGTTTTCAAAACTCGATATCATGGTTAGTAGAGGCCGATCTTTGATCGGGCGAGCGGGGGTGCTCACGAAGTGACCTTTCCCAATCGTACCCAAGTTCCCGAGCCGAGGCAACTTTGGTGATGACGGACACGTGGCCTTAGGCAACGAGTTAGGATTTCCTAAATTTCTCAAAATAAAATATTTAGGTGGCGACTCTGTATCTGGCAAAGCAGTCCATGTTTGGCATTTCTTTCAAAGAATCTGTTTTCAAAAACGATTTGCCGAATTTGGACTCTTTGATGATTTCATCGGTCTTGCATTGCACTCTGCGAGATCAAATACAGGACCGTGACATTGAGTTCTGAACTGTAGTGAGCCCAATGAACAAAACGGGGGATTTCCCTCCCGGGACGTTCGGGGACGTCTACAATATGGTACACGCCCCTCAAAAGGTGTGTATTATAGTCTTTTCCTATTTTCAAAGTTAACATAAATTCAGAAGAGGCGTGTGAAATAAGTTTATATTTAAATTTATAGATATACACATATAGATATAAGAAATAAATAATAAGAAAAAAAAAATTAGTAGGATTGGGATTGTAGTAAAAGCAGGATCATAGTGCTAATAGAATTGGAATTATAACGTGATTCTATACGATTTTATAACTATAATTATAGTCACTTCAAGATCTTAGGCTTCTTTTGGAAATTGTCAAAAAAGGCAAGTTATTGACATATTTAGGTCATATCATTTTTTAATTTTTTCTTGTCTTTTCGTAATAAGTAAAAAAGTTAATTTTTTTTTGCACTTGCCAAAACAACCCTTAATAAATTTAAGATTTTATTGTGATTCGAATTATTTGACCCAAATAAAATTATAAAATCTTAAGATCTTATGATCTAAATTAAGATTCTGATAACCATGAAAAAAGTCCTTGTACCTCATTTAACTACTGATTGATTCGAAGCCCCATCACCCTGAATTTAATGTGTATTTTTATATTTGGAAAATTTATGAATAAATGGTGTATTGAGATTCTGATGGATTAAGAATCTAGATTAAGGCCCTATTTGGTAAGTCGAATTTGGGTTAAAATAGTTAATAAAGATAAAATAGATTAAAATAGTCAATAAGACAAAATGTTACATCCGAACCATAATCAATTTTTTTTTTCTCTCACAACCATCAAATCAATTACAAAAAAAAAAAAAAAAAATCAATTATTTTCCTAAACACAACTTTTTTAGCCAGACTAAAATAGTTAAAAAGCCAACTAAAATAACCTATTCCCAAATGGGGCCTAAGACTCTCAATATAAATAAATTTAATGTGTATTTTTATATTTGGAAAATTCAAGAATCTAATAAAATGGGTTAGGTTTTTAGGTCAATGATCTAAAAATGTATTGCAGTAGATTTGTAAGAACTGTTTACATTTAATTATTCAAATATGAAGTATATTAATTTGAAAACTAAATGGATGATGTTTAATGGAATCAAATTTGTATTGCTTAGTTATGTTTGTAACACCATGTGAATGAACTCATAGGATAAATTGGCTACCATTGAAGAATTGACCATCTGTGGCATGGAGAATCTGATGGAAATTTGGCCTGGGGAACTTGAAGCTAAACTAAGAGAGATGACAGTTGAATGTTGTCATGGGCATGCAAGATTTTGAAGTACTTGAAGTGAAGGACTGTCGATCTATTGGAGTAGCCTTTGACCTTGAAGGACTTGTTTGGGAAGACGGCATATCAGATATGGCACTCCCTTCATTAAAAAAGGTGGGATTAAGCCATCTACGAAAGTTGACACATATTTGGAAGGACAATTCACCAGGAATTCAAGGCTTTCAGAATCTAAGATCCTTAATAGTAAATGATTGTGATAATTTGAGAAATCTATTCTCATACTCTCTAACCAAACTTCTTGTAAAACTACAAGAAATAGAGGTAACTGAATGTGGTATGATGGAGTCAATCATTGGAAATGAACCAAATGCAGATGATGCAGTGATAACAAATATGATCATGTTCCCTCAACTGAATAGTCTCAAACTCAGTGATTTGCCAAACCTCAGTAGTTTCTGCTTTGAGGCTTGTACGTTTGAGGGATCGTTGTTGAAAACAATAGAAGTAATCAACTGTCCCAAAATGAAGATACTCCCATCAGTATTTCAGCGCAAGCTAGACCAACAAAAGGCAGACTTTTCAACCTCATCTCAACACCATCTCTTGGATGGAAAGGTACGTTAATGAATTTTAAAATATAGCATTCACCGTTAATTAATTATCAATTCTTACAAAGAAAAATTTGTGGAAAATGTGTGTTTTTAAAATAGGCTAACCATTTTTTTGGGGTGTGTCAAACATGACAAATTGAATAGGTTACAATTATGAGATAATTTTTTTTTGTTTGGAAGATTTACACGAAAGACCTTACAAAATAAACAGTCTGGATATTTCGATAATCTAAATTGTTTATTTTGTAAATTTTGTGCATAAATTATCAAAAACAAATCATATTGATATGATAATCATAATAATGTAATTGTCATATTTGTGTTCATAAAAATGAAAAACCTTCCAATTTTGTGAATCCATTTTTTGAAGTCAACGATCATAAAATCATATTGCTTTAATTATCGAATCAATATTATTAGTTTATTTATTTTGTTCGATGATCCATACATAAAGACTTTTATAAGGGGAAAAAAAATGATGTAAATTACCAAAGTGGACTTGTGATAAAGGTGCCCAGCCCCACCACTCTTTCAAATTTTTTAACAAAGATTTATTAGGATAACAAATTTGTAAACATCAATTCTTGGAGTTCTCTACTTTACTGATGAACAATAAATGGGCAAATAGATGGACACGTGGACAAATTGACAAATATGTGAATAAATAGATAGATAGGTAAGAGTTATATGATATTTCAAAATGTTGTTATTTTTGTGGATTAAAAAAAAATATAATTTGAGACAATTGCTCCCAAAATTTTAATTTAAAATTTAAATGATTGACCCTAGTTTTATTTATTAAACTAATATATTGATAATATATGAGATGATAAATTGTGTTAATTCCACACCATGATTTGATCGTAATTCTGATTGACCCGAGTATTGTTTATTAAACTAATATATTGATAATATACGAGATGATAAATTGTGTTAATTCCACACCATGATTTGATCGTGATTCCCACTTGATTTGAACGGTTTAAGATGTCCAATTAGTCAATCAATACCCATTCAATCTAATTTTGTTCATATTTAATTGGTGCATAATAATAGGATTTATTATTTTGCGTGAGATCATTACACGCAAATTCATTTTCATGCTATGCAGTCCTTAATTTGTTTTAATTTTGTTTAACGTATAAAATGTGTCCTATGGTATTTCTGTCAAACGCGGTTTGCCGTAGTCATTAGAATTATGGCTCGTTGAGAAGATTATACTTGTAAAAAATTAAATTGATTTGAATACTATAGACACATTAGTCGATTTCATTTATCTTCAAAATAATAAACATTCTATCATAAAAAATATAATTATTGTCCATTTCTATATACAAATGTGATATAACCATGTAATTATAGTTGTCCAAACAATTTGATTTTTTTGTAAGGATGGTATTCTAACATGTTCTTAGATATGAACGGCTCATATAATTGAGGTGGCCCCATGGTGGGCCCACAAAAACCCAACAATATCTTCAGTTAATTTTGCCAACTAAAAGAAAACGTTACCCTAATTTAATAAATTATTAAGGATTTTTAAGTGTCTTTAGTCTTACTAATTTATCCTTACTCAAATTCTCCATTCTCCATTCAATGTTCATAATATATATATATACATATTTTTTTAAATTTTCTGTAGTCCATAATTTTATATTGTTACTCGTGATAATGTGACAATATCACTTTTTGAATGTTATTTCTTAATGAGTGGAGCTTTCTTTAGAAAAAAAATAAATAAATGATAAGCTATATAAGCCTTAACTATGATATTTAAAAAATAAAAATAATTTACAAATAAAATTTAGTTATATGTATATATATATATAACTTATAAAAAATTTGGTGGCCGGAACATTTTACAGTTATGAACTACCACAAGATGGATGCTTTTTTGTTTGAAATAAAAAGACTATGAAATGTCATATTATTTGTATAAAATTTTTTATAATTATTTTATTTTGTTTTATTTTATTTTTATGTAACATTATCGTAAAAAAATGTAGAGCATTCAAAAAAAGAAACCTAAAGCCTTTCCTTAGGTGGCTTTATATTAAAGAGGTGAGGGTTGTAGTTGTGATAAAGTGGTGGCAGTGTTAGGATAGCATTGATAGGTGATAGGTGGGTGGTGGTGGCAATGAGTGCTGATGGTAGTAGAGTGCTGATGGTAGTAGAGTGCTGGGGGGTGGTGGTGGTGTTAAGATTTTAGTATGAGAAATGTTTTTAATTTTATAAAATAGAAAATCTTTTTTACACAAATTAATTCATTTTTCGATGTCTTTCACACAAATTAAGTCACTTTTTGTAATGCTTGTGGTTCTTGTATTTTGATTCCTGAGTAATTTTGGTTCCTATAATTTTAATTGGTTCGATTTTGATTATAAATTTGTAATTTTGTCTCAATTTAAACCAATGGATTACAATTATTATCAATTTTTAATAAAAAAATGCGCACATAAGTAACATGTGTCATACTTTTAGGTTCACAACTATGAACTTGCTCAACTCAACAAGTTAATCTAGATCAATTTAGTAATCATTTTATGTAAAAATAAAAAATAATAAAAAACACTAAAGGTGTTATTAATTTGACTGTATTGACATAAAATCTAAAATTAAATATCAAAATTGAACCAATTAAAACTATAAGAATTAAAATGGCACAAAAGGCAAAATTTAGATGATAATTGTTAACAAATGTTAGGGGAGAGAGTTGGATGTGTCAAATTTAATTAGAAAAGGCTATCTCCCTATTTAATTTTTGGCTCGATGCACTGCTTACAACAGTTTTTTTATTTTATAATATTAATTGATTTTGCATTAAGTTTACCCCACTGTCAATTGTTGTTCATGATCAAATGAAAGTTGTTGATATAACATCTAAATTTCAATCAAAATTTTATTTTATCCTCAAATTATCTCTAAAATATCTATTACACCCCTGAATAAAATGAAATTTTGGGTAAAATAATTATGTCACTAACACTAACACAGTTAAGTTTAATGGTCTTGCAGTTTATTTTCAGTAACTGGTTTCTGTACGAATTTGGAAAACTTACTATCACAGACATAAATGGATCAATAGAGAAGTGGCACAACCAACTTGAAGTTGACCGCCTTGACAAAGTGGCATTCATGTTGGTCCAATGTTGCGGGAAATTATCAAATGCGATCTCGTCGAATTTAATACAAAGACTACGAAATCTACAAGGGCTGAAGGTATGGTGGTGTGATTCACTGGAAACAATATTTGACCTCCAAGGGTCGGTACGCGCTGGTACTACTGGTGTGGAATCAATCATTTGGCTAGGAGATTTGAAATTGATGTATTTGCCCAAGTTGATGCATATATGGAAGAATGTTTCCCAACAAACTCATTGTTTCAAATTTCTAAAATCCCTAGAAGTGGAGAGGTGTGACAACTTAAGATATCTATTCACAATTTCCATGGTCAAGGTCCTTGAGTGTCTAAATTATCTAAGAATTGGAAATTGCGAGAAAGTAGAAAAGATTGTCACCAGGGAAGTAGAAAAAGAAGAAGTATGGAGCAAAATCAAAATTTTGAATGTGGAACTTGAAAATCTTCCAAGTCTCGTGTGTATTGGAATTTCAGAATCCCAAATTCATATCTCCAAGTTGCGTGTAGATTTTTGCCCCAAGTATCGAGGTAACCAATTATACTTCCACACAAATATGCTTCTTTCATTCTCAGTTGTTTTCAAAAAAAATAAAACTTTCTCAAGAAAGCAACTTCACTACCCCATATATATATATTTGCCACATCGACATCCCAAAATGGGAGCGGTTTAAGGAAAAAGATTCTCTCTAGCATTTTCCTCATTCGTTCATCATTTAATAGTTTATCCAAAAGCCACAGCTAGTAATAATGATTAATTGTTGAATTGTTTGATGAAGAAAGTGCAGGAGAGAATTCGAATACACAATTTAGCTGTTGTCATCCATGGTTTGTTTACATCCAGTCGTACTTGTTGGCTTCATTCAACATAAAACATGTGATGATTGAAGCTAACACCTCCAGAGACCACTCTCATTTTGTTTGTCCTACTTAGAGCATCTCTAATGCATTAGGCATATAATAATTAGGCATTTTGGCTCAACTCATATTCACTAGCTACATGTAGCTAGCCTTCAACGCTAGGCAAAATGTATTCAATCATTAGGATCATTTCCCTCTATCTTTGTTGTTGACGTGGCATTCTATAAAATTAATAATATTTAGATAAATAGCTAAAATAAAAAGTATGGTTGGAGCAAAAATATAAAATAGTTGATAGGCAAAATAAAAAATATATTTTATAGTAATATTTAGATAGGTAAAATACCTACTACCGTTGGAGATGCTTTTACTCAAGAAAGTGACTTCACTGCACTGTACTTGCCACATGGCTATCTAAAATAATAATAGGATAAAAGACAATTTTGTTTTTCATTTCCCTTAAGTGTCAATTTTGACATTTCGGTTCTCAAAATTGTCAATTTGAGTCAATTTAGTTCTAGGTGTGACGTCCTTCTATGTTGATGACAAGATTATAGATAAAACATAATTTTGGTCCTTAAAGTATACGTTTCTTGTCATTTTGGTCCCTTAAATTTTAAATTTTGTCATTTTGGTCATCAAAATTGTCAATATGAGTCAATTTCGTCCTAGTTTAAATTGACGACTTTCAGGATCAAAATGACAAAATTTAAAACTTGAAGGACTAAAATAACAAAGAGACACATACTTTAAGAACCAAAACTATCTTTTACCGAAGTATAAAATATTTTTTCTGTTATCAACGTAAATAGACGTTAGAGAACTAAATTGACTCAAATTGATAACTAAGGACTAAAGTGATAAAATTAAAACTTGAGGGATTAAAATGATAGAATGCATACTTTAAGGACTAAAACTATCTTTTATCCATAATAATAATAATAATAAGAAAAACAGAGGCAAATAAATTGGTCCTTTATGCATTTGTGAATATAAATCTTATTATTTTGTTTCTAGGAATGATAAAAAGAGGTAAGAAATGAAATTACATATAGCATTGCTCTAATAATAATAATAAGATCTCCAAAAATACTTATCCTTAATAAACTGTGTGCATGTTTTTAATCTTAAGATTTAAGATATAATTATTGTCTCCAACAATTTGTATGTTTCAGAATTTAATAGTATATCCTCCAGATTTTGAGCATTGTCTATACACTAATTTCTTAACAACATCACAACGTGATTGTCTCTAATATAGTATTGGTTAGCAATAGATTAATTCATTAACTTATGCTTTGTTTGGATATTTTGAAACAAAAAGTTAAAAAAATAAAAATTAACCTATATTTCATTCCTATTATTCTCACATTTTTCCTTTTGCTTTTCAAATCTTTACTCAAATTCGTGATCTAAAAAGAGATCATGATTTTGGGTAGGGATTTAGAAAGAAAAAAAAAAAGAAAAAAAAAAGTGTGTGAAATATGAATGAAAATATAAGTTAATTTTTTTTTTCTCTATTTTCATTTACCTGTTCTATTTTCTCTCTATCCAAATTTATTAGTCAAACATAATGCAATCTTTTTTTCTTTTTTTTGGCCAATAGGTAAAAGGCTAATTACAAACTACAAATCTATCTATCAATACGATTATATAAGCAAACATACCGTGTGGTGATTGATGCTCAAACTCTCAATCTATTTAATGTTAGGGATCATAAAAAAAATATCATGAAGATGATCATAAAAAATTCTCTACTTTTGGATTACACAAACAATAAATGATATTCGAAAGGAGAGGTGGTGTTGCATTTCATCATTTTTTTTTTTTTCATGATATCTAATATTATTCATTTTTAAAAAGTTGAGTCCTTAGATAATTTTTTTTTTCTTTTTCCTGTAAGTCATAAGTGACAATTTAAATATCTTAATAATTGAGTGATCTTTAATAAATGATATTCGAAAGGAGAGGTGGTGTTGACAATAATGATGAATCAAGTTGATAACTATATTCTTAGTTTCAGTAATCATTTGATACTTGCCATATGCAGGTTTTGATGTGGAAGGGGAGTAATATTTACCATTTGCTACGGTGCATCGCCAATCTCTTTACAGAAAAGGTATGCATTATTGCTACACACACAAATAATAATAATAATAATAATAATAATAAAGTAAAAGCAAAAAAATTATTACACCAAATGCCTCTTCATCTTGTTGATAAATATACTGTGAATATATCTGTTTATGCTCATATCCTTTAATGTTTAGTGTATATATTTATATTTCGTTTGAGGCCTTCCAAATAATATTTTCTTGGGAAAATTATATTAATAATCCTTGTATTTAGGATCTTGTGTCATTTTAGTTTTTATAATTTCAACTAATTTGATTTTTATCCAGAATTTATGATTTTGTCTTAATTTGGTTCAATTGATTATAATTGCTAGCATATCTTTTAATGAAAAATGTGCAAATGAAAGGCATGTGTCTTGCTTTTAGGGTGAAATTGTAAACTAGATTAACCTAGTAAGTTAACATCAACCAACTCAATGATAATTCTCTTTTAAAAAAAACCCTAATGACGTAATCAATTGAACCAAATTAACCTAAAAAAAATTAAAGATAAAAATTGAGCCAGTTAAAAGTGTATCTAAAATGACGCAAGGGACAGAATGTAGAGACTATTATTATAATTCACCCTATTTTATTTTTAGAATCTAAACACTCTGCTAAACTATTTCATTGTGTGAAGTAAAGAGTTGTATTTTTTGTTCTTTGGTTGTTTACAGAATTCATTTGTGTGAATTAGAGAAATAGTTTTTTTAATTTATCAGCAAAGAAAAAAATTGTATTAAAGAGAGAAACTTCCTCTACAGTCTATCCAATTCTCCTAAAATTGCTTGGGGGATCCTGAACAAGGATAAATTAGTAGACTGTTGGGTTGGTCAAAGTTTAGACAGAATTCATCAATTTTTATTTTCATTTAGTACAATTTTCATGTTACTATATACATAATTCATTTCATTGGCCAGGAACGTTCAAAATAAATTGATCTTATAGTAAATACAAGAGTATAATATTATTCTCTAATGTAGGTTTATCTCGTTCAACTTTATTTTGATGATTTAATTATCACAAATAATTCTTTAACCAATATGTCTCTACTAGTTATTTCTTTCTTTCTTTCCCAACATCCTACCATCACCACCACAACCACTACCACTACAGCACACCTCGACTATTATTAACCATTATTTCAAAGTTCTAACTAAATATTGGAGAATATTTCTATGTATTACATTTTTTAAAACAAAAAAATATTTTTCACATTGCACCCATTAGACACAAGCACATTGAATGTAATAGCTTTTAGCTAGCCTTTAATGTCTTTCATTTTCAAAATTTGATTGCAGGTGATTTATTGGGTATGCTTTCTTAATAAAGAAGTTGGAGAAATAGATATTGGCCCTATTTATGAAGAAACCAAGGCTACAAGGTGTTCTTATATATGAAGAACTGTTTAGTTGTTAGGATTACATTTTATCTATTGTTGGGTTTGTATAAATTACGTGTCATCTCATTGGTCGGGTTGATTGTGCTGGCATAACTTTCTCTGTTGTGGTATAACTGGACTGACTTTATCATAAACCATGTAATAATTTGTGTGTGAATTTGATAAGTGTGCTTTGTGTCACAGTTTTTAATCTCAGTTTTTATAATAAAAAAACTGAGATTAACTGGATTGGCATAGCTTTCTTAGTCTCAATTTTTATAATAAAAAAAGCGTGATGTGAGTGTGACTATTTGTCTGTAAAAGATCTCGCTTTTTATGAGAAAGCGTGATTATTTATTGGTTGCAAATGAAAATCTGTCGGTGAAACTCAAGGGTGGGTGACATTGTGGTTAAGGTTTGGGGTTTAAATCTTAAGGTTATGAGTTCAATTTCTTCTCCTTTGAGCCAATTTTCTGGGCGAAGTATAGTTGGTTAGGAGGTTGGACCTCAAGTTGTCTAATCAGCATTTAGTGTCGGTTCAATACTCCCCCGCCGTGCGAGTTCTGACTTAAGCGGAGCTTGTCTTGGGAGGTCAGGGCAAGTTCTCAGGTTATAGTCTCCTCGCTCGAAACGGCTAATAGGACACCCTGGTAATCTCTATAAGGGGCGCTGCTTTGGACTTACGGGAGGGTAGGAAGGATTTTCCTGTAAAAAAATAATAATAATAATAATAATAAATGTGTGGGTGCAAGCGTGATTGATAATATTTTTCCCCAGTTCCTAGCTGCATATATAGTTCCCTCATTGTTTAGAGTTACAATCTCACTTTTTAATAGAAAAGCGCAACTATTTTTAACTTACTATCTCACCTTTTATAAAAGCGTGATATATACTATTACATATCTCTTGTTAAAAATCTCATTTTTTTTTTAATTGAGATGATTTATAGAACTCAATTCTTTTCCTATAAATTTTATTTACTACTTCTTCAATCAAACAAATGCATCAGACAAGAGTAACTCCAATGAAACAAATACATTAAATAAGAATAGCTTAAATCAAACAAATTAAAAACAATACATTTTCAACTTTACCATTCAAGAGTCTCACTAAATCCAGTATCAATACTACAGTTGCAACTACCACAACCATCATCAGCATGTGCACACTAGTGATTCAACTCAATCAACTTCCCATCAGTTTTGGATTGAATCAAACGGTGAACACAGTTGTCTAGGACATAGTCTTCAGCACCAGCTTTGGCTTTCCACAGACAGAGATTAATAGTGTTCTTAGTTTTGTATTCTAGAATGGGGCACATCATATGCTGCAAAAAAATTATTTCTGAAATAATCAAAAAACAATATTCTCATCCTTATAGCAGCACAGAGAAGAAAGAATAAAAAATGCTTCCATACAAATGTAACAAAACAATTCTCGTTACCATCCATTTGGTTGATGAGAAAATATAGGCAAACCATTGAAATCAATAGCAGTAAGGGCGTGAAAGAAACAAAAATGATGACAGATAAACCAAAGTCTAAAGTAGAATTGCTTCAGCTTGTACAATTGTAATGTATGTATTATTACAGTTGAATATGGCTGAGAAAAGCATATTCCATGTTTGCATGAAGGTCCCACTATGGCGGCCTAATTTGTTATGCCATTGAATTTCAGATTGAAATAAATCGTACCTGAAACCTATGAAACTCTACAAATCTCTTATCATCCCATATCAGTATCGGGAGAAACAAGTCCTTCATATTCCAGCTGCACAAAACAAAGTGAATATGGTCAAGTGATCAACATATTCAATTGTAACCAAGAAGATCAGAAAGGAAAAAAAAAAATTAAATTCTATTACCCTTCTAGATTTAATTCAATTAAATGATGGTTGAATCCCAACCATGAGATTGGTATTGCCAGATGCACCTTTCCAAAAAAGGGGTAGGCATCAAGCCAGCTCAACCTGACAAAGTTTTCATCAAATTAGAACTGAACATTGTCTGGAAGAAGATAAATAAAGATCAAGGATCAAGAATGCAATCCAGTTCAATGGTGGGCCGAGTTTTTCAGAAGCCTCTTACAATTCAACAAGCTTAGCTTCAAGATTTCTTATCTTATCTTCTTCTCTCTCACCTCATATTAAAGGGCAATCTCAAGAAATGAAGTAGCTTGGCCTGTTGATCCTGCACGCCCTGTCCTTCCGATTTGGTGTACATAGTCTGTGAGAATATGCCTATTCAGTGTTTCCTTTTAGGATTAGGACTTAGTGTTCTATATTGTAGCGCCCCAAATTTCTAGCCCAAATGATAATATAACTATTCACCTAAAAAATCATGGCTCTTTCAAGGAAAACCAAATATAAATCTCAAAACTTACATTACATGATACAATAGTTCTTCATGCAACAATACATTAATCCAACAACAAGTAAATAAACAAATAAATACCCCTAAGGGTTTACAAGTTTCCAAGGCATAAGCCTGGTTATACAAAACGGTTATTCAAACCTACACACATACAGCCCTTGACTTACACACATAGTCACAGCAAAATGAGAGCATTGTACTCCAACACACATACTTCCACGCCCCTAGTTGGGTGGAATCACCACATCTTTTCCTGCACAAAAATCCCGTATGGTGAACATAAAGCTTAGTAGGAAATTTTTAACAAAATATATACATTTTATACAAGTCTCAAGAGATGAAATGCACATACCATACTATGCCTTTTTTGAAGATAAATCACATTTTCATCTTTTGAAAACCATCATGCTCAATGATATCATACAATTTCAATTATTCAAAACTTAACAATTTATTTCAAGGGATCCGGGGTAGAAACCCTCGACAATTCATCTTTTAAATGGAAGCCCTCGACTCACTCTACCTTTTTAATAAAGGATCCGGGGTAGAAACACACTCTAAATAGATCAAACCTAAGAGAGAAGATGAGTAGAGAGAGAGAGAAGTCGGTTCTAGGGTTTTAGAATCAAAAGGAAGATGAAAAATGATCCAGAAAGTCGGATCTCGGATTTTTATAACAGTCGCCCCGCTCGGGCGTGGAAACCCCCGCTCGAGCGCCACTCACAGACTCCCGTTCGAGCGCCCAAACTCCCGCTTGAGCGGCGAATGCACACTCCCAGAATTTTTTTGCAGACAGGTCCCCGCTCGAGCTCCCAACTCCCCGCTCGAGCGTCACTCACAACCTCCCGCTCGAGCGTCCAACACTACACAAGACATACTGGATGGGTGTAAACCCCGCTCGAGCGCCCAAACCCCCGCTCGAGCGGACAAGCCAAAATCTGGGCAACTAGACTTGGTTCCTAAGCTCAACCAACCTGCTCCAAATCTTCCCAACACAACCCAAGACTTAATATAAGGATTAAAGGATGTAAACAAGGCACATACAACAACCAACTCCACGGAACCTAAGTCCGGGTACCACAGTTAAAGAAAAAAGGAAAACCGGGATCGCTATAACCTCCCCCCCTTAAAGAATTTCGTCCCCAAAATTAAGCATAAGTTTTTGAAAACAGGTTTTTTTTTTTTTTTTTTTTTCCACATTCCAACAACCTAACATCACAACAATGAACAACTTGACCCCATACCGGTCCTT